GTAAGTGAAAAGCAGAGGAGACATGCCTACAATCGTGAGATGACGGTAATGGCGGAGACTGCCCAGGCTCTAATGGAGCACATCAGTGACAAGCAATCCCAATACACGAGTGCTACCCACGTTGAACATATCAGACCTATGTTCAAGGTACATGTATATGGTTATTGGTTAAATGTGTACATGTACGTGTACATGTCTATTATCTATTATGATAATTTTCTTCTTTCTCTCTGTCAGATAACTTGGACTCCTGTACTAGCTGCCCTCAGTGTTGCCCTAAGGGATACTGATGACCCTGAAGTTGTTAGTTTGTGTCTTGATGGATTCAGATGTGCCATTAGGATATCTTGTATATTTGGATTAAATGTATGTGCCATATTCTTAAAAGCATACCTTCCTTTCTCCCTCTCTCTCACTCTCTCTCTCTCTCTCTAACATACATGTACATGTACACATCTTTCTTCACATACATGTACATGTACATCTACTTTTATACTTCTCTCTCTCTCTCTCTCTCTCTCTCTCCCCCTCTCTCTCTCTCCCTTTAGCTTGAAAGAGATGCATTCATTAAAAGTCTGTCAAAGTTCACTATGCTAATGACGTCCACTGGTATAACTGAGATGAAAGCTAAGAACATTGAAGTTATAAAGACACTCTGCACTGTAGCATATACTGATGGGAACTACCTCCAGTCCTCCTGGATTGATGTAAGCATAGAGAAAGTTAAAATGATTAAATTTAAAATAATTTTGAAATGCTAATACATGTACTTGTAACTCAAAAATTGTTTGTCAGAAACAGCTCAAACTTTCTACACAGTATAAGTGCATCAATATGTATCAGAAAATGTAATAAAAATTGGGGGTGATTTCGGAGCCATTTTTTGGAAAAAACCATGGGCTATAGCCTTGGGTATTTTTCAGAATTTTGGTTTTTTCTTAAAATGGCTGTAACTCGAAAAATTGAAGTCGGAATCAGCTCAAACTTTCTACACAGTATAAGTGCATCAATATGTATCAGAAAATGTAATAAAAATGGGGGGTGATTTCGGAGCCATTTTTCGGAAAAAACCATGGGCTATAGCCTTGTGTATTTTTCAAAATTTTGGCGTTTTCTTAAAATGGCTGTAACTTGAAAAATTGAAGTCAGAATCAGCTCAAACTTTCTACACAGCATAAGGACATCAATATGTATCAGAAAATGTAATAAAAATTTGAGGTGATTTCGGAGCCATTTTTTGGAAAAAACCATGGGCTATAATATAGCCCATGGTTTTTTACAAAGTTGCTCATTTTAAAAAATGCTCATAACTCGAAAATAATTTGTTGCGATCAGCTCAAACTATTTTCATTATTATTCCAACTTGAGCCTGCAAGTTTTCACGTTTCATATAATAACTATCAATAACTAATATTAATAACTACTACCAATAACTATCAATAACTACCACTACAGGTGCTTCAGTGTATATCCCAGCTGGAGTTAGTCCAGTTGATAGGAACTGGAGTAAAGACCCAATACCTAACCTCAGGAACACTAGGGACCACAACCAAAGGAGGCAGCAGCAGCAAGGCCGGCTCTAAAGGAGGCACTTCCTCTCAGAGCAGCAGTGGGTCCATCAATGCAATACTATCAGGGACTGATGCTAAGAAGATTGCCAGTATACAGGAACACGTGGAGGGGACCAGCAACCAGTCAGTGGTTGTGGCTGTGGATCGGATATTCACCGGTACTACTAGACTCGATGGGACTGCTATAGGTCAGCCGTGTTACTATAAATAGCATGTTGTAATAATGTGTTACTATTAATAGCTTCTTGTACTATTAATAGTATGCTACAGTAGCTTAATTCTTTAATTCTTATTATTTCTTAGTTGATTTTGTTGAGGCTCTCTGTGCAGTGAGTAACGAAGAACTCTCAAGTCAGGCTCACCCGAGAATGTTCAGCTTACAAAAGATCATTGAACTAGCATATTACAACATGGAGAGGATAAGACTGGAGATGAGTAGAATATGGAAAGTGATTGGAGCACACTTCAATACAGTGAGATTTGCATGTACACATACATGTAGATGTACATGTACGTGTACATGTACATTTAAAAGTTTTTATTATATTTTCTAGTACATTTTTTACTGTATATGTACATAATTTTACATATTATGTAGAAAGTTTTAGTCAATTTTATTTTAAAATTTTGAATCTGTGGATTATATCTTTCTCTTAGGTTGGGTGTCTGCCGAGTGAAGAAGTTTCCTTCTTTGTTGTGGATTCTTTAAGACAGTTGTCAATGAAGTTTGTCGAAAAGAAAGAATTGGCGAATTTTAGGTTTCAAAAAGACTTCCTTCGGCCATTTGAGTACATCATGAAGAGAAACGAGTGAGACCCTCTTGTTAAAATATTATTATTATTATTATTATTGTTGTTGTTGTTGTTGTTGTTGTTGTTATTATTATTGTACTTGTAGTTCTGTGACTATACGTGATATGGTGGTGAGGTGCGTCACTCAAATCATACAGACAAAGGCTCAGAACATAGTCTCTGGTTGGAAGAACATATTCTCAGTCTTTCTCTTAGCAGCTGGGGATAGTGACCAAACCATCGTAGAGCTGTCCTTTCAAACTACTTGTAATTATGCACACAATAAATGGGGACTGTTTTTATGCCCTCTCTCTCTCTTCTCTCTCTCTCCCCCTCTCTCCCTTTTTCTCTCCCTCTTTCTCTTCCTCTTTCTCTTCCTCTTTCTCTTCCTCTCTCTCTCTAGCTTCAATATTTGAGTCACATTTTGAAGCCACCATTGACTCTTTTCAAGATGCCATCAAATGTTTAGCTGAATTTGCCTGCAATGCCTCATATCCCGACACTAGTATGGAGGCCATTAGGATAATAAGAACATGTGCCAAGCATGTGGCAGAAAGACCAGAGGTTAGCTTGAAATTGTATTATTAGCAGTTTTTGTACTATTTTTGGATTTCGGCATTAGCAGCTTCAAAAATTCATAACAAATCCAATTTTGATTGGAGTCAGCTCAAAATTTCTAAGCAACATAAGTACATGTATATGTATCAGATAAAGTTATAAAAATGTAAAATTCTCGCCTTTTCATTTTTGGCAAAATTTCGCCAAAATCCCTGTACTATAGTACAGGGACTTTGGCTCGATTTTTGAGTAACTTAAAAAATTCATAAAAAATTCAATTTTGATCGGAATCAGTTCAAACTTGCTACACAACATAAGAATATGTATATGTATCAGAAAACATTATAAAAATTAAAAAAATTTGTGTTTTATTTTTTTGCAAAATTTGGCCCGTGGCCCTGTACTATAGTACAGGGACTTTGGCTCAATTTTGAGCAACTTTAAAATCAGAAGAAATTATAAAATGAAGTAGCCATTATTACTGAAATACCATATGGCATAATGTGTACTTTTCAATCACGCCACTTATTTTATTTTCCAGTTATTTTTGGTCGATGATGCCAACACTACGGTAGGTCCCGACAGGCTATGGGTGAAGGCGTGGTTCCCCATCATGTTCGAGCTCTCTACAATCATATCACGGTGCAAACTTGACGTGAGAACAAGGTAAATTTCTTAATTTTAAATAAACTTTATATACATGTACATGTATGTGTATATATTTTTGCTTTCTTTTTGTTCTCTCATATATATTATATTATATATTTGCTCTTTTTCCTTCTCTCAGAGGACTAACGGTGATGTTTGAAATAATGAAGACGTATGGTTATTTGTATCAGCCTCACTGGTGGACTGATCTATTCAATGTGATCTTTAGATTATTCAGCTCCACCAAGACACCAGACTCTGTTATTGAAGTAAGTATGCAAAAAAATTTGTAATAATAACTACTACTACTACTAATAATAATTGATACTGAATCATTGTAAATATTATTTAATTTTTGATTGTTGTAGCTTATATATTTTTATTTTTAATTGCTGTTGATAATATTTTTTATTTTTTAATTATTTTAGATTTTTTTTTTTTTAATTATTTTTATGTTTTTGTAGAAGGCTGAATGGATGACTACCACTTGTAACCACACCCTCTATGCTCTGATGGACGTATTCATGCAATACTTTGACACACTCTGTAGCGTTCTATTGGAAAAGATACTGGACCAACTATTGTGGTGTGTCCAGCAAGGTATAACAGCAGTCTCTCTATGTTATTATTTTTTTTTTTAATTTTATTATTTTTATTTTATTTTTTATTATTTTATTCTATTTTTATTTTTATTTATTATTTTATTATTTTTAGATAATGAGCAGTTGGCAAGGTCTGGTACAAATTGCCTTGAGAACCTTGTCGTCTCAGTCGGATCCCGATTCAACGAGGAGATCTGGGATAAGGTAGGCGTGGTTCAATGGGTGTGGCTATACCCCACCTCTCTTCACACAGGTCTGCCAATGCTTGTATAATATTTATAAAGTGACCGTACCTCACGACCTGTTGTCTTGGAAGCAACCTGAAGAACCTCCTGGTTTTCATTCTTCGTCGCTTTCGATAGATTCAGTTCACAGTTCCCACTCTGATGCTGTCATTATCAACGTAGCCCCTCAGGTACTCTTTTATGTTGACCTTTGACCTTTGACCTTTAACCTTTAGGGTCCTCCTGTGGTAGCAAGTGAGGGAACTGATAAAGGAGAGGCTTCAACTACTCGTGAGAAATGAGACGGAGAATTTTATAATTTATTTTATTTATGCGTAAAATTAAGAATATTTATTCTTTTTTTTTAGCTGTCCCCCCTCCATTGGTTGATCCTCCTGTACTACAGGTCTCTAGACCAAGCACTGATTTGACAGCTGATACCGTTGTCACGGAGACAAAGCCACTCCCACTAGAGGTAGCTGCAGCCCAAAGTGAAGGCACTGTACTATCACCAACAAAACCAGTTGCTGCTGAACCTGTGCCTAGTCCATTATCTCACAATAGAAATATTACAGTAAGTTCCATAATAAGACAATATAGCCTCTCTAAATGGACACTCTCTATAGCGTACACCTCCATTTAACGGACAGCACCTAGTGTACCAATTACATTCCTTACTGTATAAAATAACCTCCACATAAAGGACACCTCTGTATAACAGATAAACTTTCTTGTACCAAAGTGTCCATTATAGAGGCTACTCTGCAATAATAAATGACAATAAAATTAATAATTGTGATAATTCCTCTCTCTCTCTCTCTCTCAGCCTGGCAGATCAAAGTCTCCCTCCATAGCCTCTTCAGCTAAAGGAGGAGATGAACTGACTCCAAGGAGCTCTAGCATTAAGAAAAAGAAAGACAAAGATAAAGGAGGAAAGAGCAGACACAGAAAAAAAGAAGACAAGAAAACTAAAGAAGATCGCAAAGGATCTTCGCAGCAGATAACAGACGAGACCTTATCAGAAATATCAGTGACTAATCCTGACACTGATATGACGATGGCTAAGAGCAGGAGCCAACAACTTAGCAGTAAGTACATGTATATGATGTACAAGTTGTACTGCACATCCATCACAAAATTTGCATTTTTTCTTGAGCTATTTTTATTTTAAAAACAATCATGATCTTGGGCCAAAATTTACAATGCACATTACTAATCTTTGATTGGGAACAGCTCAAACTTGCTACGTAGCATAAAGACATTTATTAAGAATCTCAATAATAGAATTCTTCTTTATAATTTCTCTCTCTTTAGTCAATACACCAGGAGACTACCCTCTCTTCAATTCCCTCATCATAAAGTGCGTCGTTCAACTAGAATTAATACAAACGATTGATAATATTATCTTTCATCCAACCATTACGAGACAGGATGACCAGAACATACTCCAATCAGCGAGAGTAAGAGTCACTACACACATATATTTTGCTCAAGTATAAATTACATTAACTACTGGTACACCCTTTTTAAATTTAAGACTGCCTGCTGGCTATCATATTACTAGATTGGATTACATTACCAATTACAATTTTACACATTGCAATTATTTTGTCAGGAATTAGATGCTTCACCTCAGTTACTGGTGGAGTGAGTGTGCATGACCTCACCCCATGTGTCACTATAACAGCATTAGCTCTGATAACCTCTCTCTATGTGTATATAGTGTTTGTGTTTTATTGCCAAAACATTTTAGAGTAAAAATGCACCTACACACACATAAGGTTGACCTTTAGCTTGCATGAATTTGTGCATGCATTCAACATTTGTACATGTAACATATATATGTGTATTAGATGATATTCACCCTCACCTTTTGGGGATATTGAATAACATTATTCTTTATCTCTTATAAAAACAAGTTGATCTACTTAGATATTATTATTATTATCTTTTTATCTTTTCTCCCCTCCTCTCTCCCTCCCTCTCTCTTTCTCTCTCCCTCTCCTTCAGGTAATGTCTACACATTATCCTCTCCCTCTACCTCCCTACACTGATGAGGGTATGTTCCACCTCCTCTCATCGCAGCAGCTGTTTGTCCTCCTTAGCTGTTTAGAAGAGTCCCATCTTTTTGCTCGGAGTTTTAACTCAAACGAATCCCAAAGAGTCATCTTAATGAAAGCTGGTAAGTAAAAGAGTCTCAATTAGAGAGAGATGGGTAATTATTATTCTTTTTAAGGTTTCCGAGGTCGTTCGAAACCCAATCTACTCCGGCAGGAGACCAGTAGCTTATTGACAGCTGTTAGGATACTTTATAGAATGCTTGGGGATAGTAGCAGGGCAGACAAGTACAACGATATAGAGAATCGACTTTTAGGGTGAGACATTTTGAATCTATTGTAGCAGCTGTCCTTGTTCTACTTATAATTCTCTTTCTTTCTCAGGTTAATCACTAGCGCATTGACTTACTTCCTTTCTCTGTCAACTGATGTACAACAAGTGTCATGGACTCCTGTTCTCTTGTTGATATTCACTAGAATGCTACAAATAACCAGCGATGAAGTATGGAGGAAGAGAGAGGGAGGGAGGTAGAGAGAGAGGGAGAGGGAGAGAGAGGGAGAGAGAGAGAGAGAGAGAGAGAGAGAGAGAGAGAGAGAGAGAGAGAGAGAGAGAGAGAGAGAGAGAGAGAGAGAGAGAGAGTGCATAATTGTAAAAGGTCAATTGTTCATGTACCCGCCTACGCATTTAATTAAAAATTAAAAATGTAATTCTAAGCTAGTGTACATACACTGTATTATTATCATTATTATTAAAATAAATTATTTTTATTATTTTATTTTTTGTTCAGTTTAAGCGACACATGTCTATATGTTACTCGCTCCTCTGTGAGCTCCTGTCAATCGAACTCAAATATGAAGTCCGTTGCTTACTGAGAAGAGTTTTTAACAGAATAGGACAGGAGTATCGGATCTGCAAGGAGGTGGAGAAAGGGGAGGAGCTAGTCTGAGGGCGGGGCCTGGTTAATCCCAGTCAATACTAGTGCTTTTAATAACATGATTTATAATTATTGTTAACATTATTAAATTATTTAAAATTTATAGCGATTGGGGCTGCATTGCTGGTATTTGTTATTATTATTATCATTATTATTGTTGTTGTTGTTATAATTATTTGTCCAATATTTTTAAGAATATTAGCATTTAAAAATATTTTCAATATCCTGTGAATTATGTATAGACCTTTCCCACCAATGCAGCGTTTAGCAATGAATATCATTAACGAGCTGCCATGTTGTGGGATAGATGTACAGAGACGAATGGGCAAAAAGTGACTTTTCCCATTTTCCTTATAAATGCAAGCTCTGGTTCACACAGAAATGCTCATTGCACATTTGTTGTATAATTTTAGTTATCATACTGCAATTTGGTCTTTGCTTTCGCAGTTATCTTGGAGAAAATAAAGAAATAGTGCTTTTAGCCCATCCATCACTGTACATCGATCCCACAAAATGGCGGCTCGTTAATGATATTCATTGCTAAACGTACAGTGGTGGGAAAGGTCTAGTCTCGTCTCGCGTAGCCAGACCACACCCTCCGTGCCTACGGGTGTGGTCTGGCTATGCGAGACTAGGAAAGGTCTATAGCTATGAATCAGTGCAGCTGACAGTGCTGCCACTCCCAAGCAAAACTGCTGCTTGGATTTCTCTCTTTTCAATAGGCACAATTTCTTTTTAGTTCTACCATTTTTTAAAAGTAAGTCTCTCTATATTGCATGGCGGGCTCTGGCTCCTTTATGCTCCTGCTTACTGTTGTGGCTTATTTGTTACTTGTTTCTTTTCTTTCCTCCACTAGATTAGCATAAATACGCATAATATTTACACAATGATCAACAAGACAAATCGCAAAGACAAGATGGGAATTCTCTCCCTTTGCTTATTCTTCCTAGTCTTTATAGTTTATCTAGTCCTCGGAGTGGACGGGGTCCAGATAGCTTCAGAAAAAAGAGTGATGCCTTTTATAAACAGAGTTTATCTTCAGTGCAGGGGAGATGAAGGGGCTAATCTGAGCGGCTCTGCCCTTTTCTATCGCTCACAGTACTCTGGAGGACCGAAAGAGCTAGTTGGTGCAGCTAGTCCTGTTGGAACTGATGCAGAACCAACCCCTACAGTCCTTCTCCTCTACCTCACGCCAAGCACAGAAGGAGTGTACACCTGCGTGGATAATGTAACTAATACTACATCTAGTAACAGCATTTCTCTTGTTGGTGAGTTTCTCTAAGCAAGGTCATTATTATTATCATGCTGTAATGGAGTGGCTTGTGGGTTTTGACTGTAGAATAACCTTTCATTTGAGCCAATTTTCAGTATGATATATACTACAGTTATCCATAACTCTTGGCTCTAGTAATGAGCATAGATCCCACGTCAGTTAAAGAAAGGCCGCTAATGAGCAAACGATGCAATTGCAAGCTCATCACCCTCAACCTATTGCCTGCCCTTTGTAGCCATTAACATGACCGTGCATACATACAATTTTGCATTATATCTATTTCATCAATAATACATTGTCAGCAGCTTTGTTGCTTATAGCTTTGATAGAGATTGTCCAAAGCTATTTATTGCAATAGCTATTGATTGTTTAGCTTTATTGTATCATTATATATGTAATGCAAGTTCTCTTTGCTGGCTGTATAGGCATGTACATGTATGTGTGGGGTATACTATTAAATGCGTAGGTTTGAAATAACTGTCAGGTAGTTGTTGACACACAAAAAATATTAAAAACTAGTGTGCAACGAAGACTACTAAGCAATGCAAGCCCTGCTTGTCAAATTAGTAAGAATAAGTGATAGATTATTATAATATATATATATATAATAAGCATTTTTAGAAACTATAAATTGGGAAGCAAAAGAGAAACATAATTATTCCTCTTAATGTAAACACTGAATAAAGTCATTTCATAAGTATTGTTTAGAATAATGAATTCATAATCATCTAACGTGACCTTTTCAGCACTAAATTTAGTTATTCATTTACAGTAGTCCATGAGTACAATTACTATTGTTTAGATTGTAAGTACTGTAGGAGTAATGAGTACAATGATATAGTGATTATTTCATATGTACATATTGCACTAAAGTGACACATAACTCAGCTCCCAATACTAACTACCGTAACATCTGGCTAGTTAGATAAACTCTGAATGGTATAGTAACCTTCTTTTACATCATTATCATATTGAGTGGGGAGTATGAAAAAGAGTTTTTTTCGTCACATTATTCTTACTCGCTCACTCTCTCTCTCTCTCTTTACTACAGCTTTTCCCTACCTCTCCCCATCCTTCACTCTTCCTCAAGTAACAACAGTACCGATTGGCCAGATCTCTCCTCCTTTATCCTGTGGGTTCCCTCTTGGCTCCCTGTCGCAATACTACAGAGTGGAGTGGTGGAGAGGGACAGCCAAACTAGACACTACCTCGAATAACACGAAATATCAAGTTTTGAGCGATTTGAGTCTTATAGTGAATGGGGCTGACACAAGGGATGCTAGTTCTGGCTATTATTGTAAAATTCTAGTGAGGAACGCACACGAGACTGTAACATATGAGAACATGTCACCAGACTTGACCCTCAAAGTTACTGGTAAGCAAAAAGGACTATATGTACTGCTTGTATGTAATACATTTTGTATAAAAATATATATATATAATGAGGCTCTTATTGATATATTGTAATAGGCTTATAAATGTAGTATAGTTTAGCACTTTATACTCCAATAGTGCATTATGATCAATTATCAATTAAGTGATAATTGTCTGCTTTAAAATTCAATTTTTAGACTCCAGTATAATTATAGTAATTGTATTTTCTCTAGATCCCCTCACTCTCAATTCTTCCTTAATAAACACTGCTCTCGGCATCGGTCGGTCTGTTTCGTTTACATGCTCGGCAGAAGGTATACCACGACCTTTAATTAAGTGGTTGATTGGAGGGGCTAGCCCAAGCACTAATCCTCGCTACTCAGTACAAGAAGAAGTAAGGGAGAGATGTCCTTATGCTGTTAATATTAGTATAATATTATTGCTATGTTTGTATAGTGTAATTCTGGCTGATCAGGTCTGCAACTGTTGGCAGATTAAATTTGCTTAGGATAGTGTATTTTATAAACATGATTATTATGGCTACCAGTTTAATATTGGTTGCATTTCTTGCCACACATAAATTCCTGCCTTTTGGCTCTTCTTTTCTGCTCTTTGCTTTTAAGACATTAATTCCTTATTTTATTAACAATAATTAATAATGATATTTGCTTGAGTAATGGAAACTGAATGCATGTTTGGGGTATATTCATTATGTGTTATTGATGAACAATCGCTGCCACTGTTTTTATAGCATGTTGTTAATAATGTCTTGGTTTCATTATTGTGGTCAGAGCAGACATCGCTTTCACATTTGTTGTTGATATTAATGTATTGATGTTGGCAAATTCTTCCCTTTTCAATTTTGGGGAAATTTGGCCAAAATCCCTGTACTATATTACATGGATTTCAGAGCCAATATTGGAGCAACTTTAAAAAATTTGTAAAAAATCCAATTTTGATTGGAATCAACTCAAACTTGCTATACAATATAAAAACATGTATGTGTATCAGACAACATTATAAAAATGAAGAATTCTCTCCTAGTCATTTTTGGCAAAATTTGGTTTGAAACCCTGTACTATAGTACAGGGACTTTGACCTGATTTTTGAGTAACTTTAAAAATTCGTAAAAAATCCAAATTGAATTGGAATCAACTCAAACTTGCTATACAATATAAAAACATTTATGTGTATCAGAAAACATTATAAAAATGAAGAATTCTCTCCTAGTCATTTTTGGCAAAATTTGGTTTGAGACCCTATACTATAGTACAGGGACTTTGACCTGATTTTTGAGTAACTTTAAAAATTCGTAAAAAATCCAAATTTGATTGGAATCAACTCAAACTTGCTACGCAATATAAGGACATGTATATGTATTAGAAAAAATCATAAAAATGATGAATTCTCTCCTAGTCATTTTTGGCAAAATACCCTATACTATATATAGTACAGGGTACTTTGTCATTTGTCAGGTCACTTTTCTTTAAAATATCTTCTGTACTTTTAATTAGCACATGCACTTTTAATTCTACTGTCTCCTTTTTTTCTTTTAAAGGTTAATTCGAGTCTCACAACATACATAACTACAAGTACACTGACAATATCCAGTACCAGTACACATGACAGTGGTAGCATTGAATGCATAGCTGCTTCCTTCTCCTCCTCTAATGACATCATCATTCAGTCTGACAGCATCCAGCTAGCTATACTAGGTAAAAATTGTAAAAAAACTCTTGATTTTTCTGTTTATTTTTTTATATAATATTTCATTGTACACAATGCAAATTTTCTAATGTGGTTTTTTTCTCTTTCCTCTTTTAGCTCCCTTTGTTGCTGTACCTTCACTGTCTGTCAATCAAAATGGTGGATTGTCCCTTTCCATTGATTTCCCTTCTGTAGTACCAGTCTTGTTTTCTTTAAACATACGGTAAACAAAAATATAAAAAAACAAACTTCCATGCAATTGCATTCATTTTAATTTTATCTTCTCTCCTATACTCATGCAGTTATGTCAGTACAGTGGATACTAATAACAATTATGAGACAACTCTCTCATCAGTTTCATTTAGTAATATCGGCTCTATCACTAGCTACAACATACCTACTGATAAAATGCCCACTTTCACATCTTTCAGAGCACAAGTTGCAGTCAGTGCTTTCAAATATAATGGGCAATACAGTGGACTATCTAATGCTGGTAAGCATTTAGCAATTATAAAGTCAAATTTGATATTAATATTCTAGAAAGCTTTAATTAATATCTTCCCATATGCCCTTTAATAAACAATAATAATAATGAACTCTCTCTTCTCCTTATTGACACTCTGTTATTGTATACTTTGCTCCTGTGAAGTTGGTTTTTCTAAACTTTTCCCATAATAATAATAATAATAGCTATAACAATAATAATGACGATAAACAGCTGCTGTTAAGTTGAATTTTCATTTTCTTCATCATAATAATATTAATAAGAATAACAACCACATTTTCGTTATTATCAATAAATTATTTTTCTTGCAGTTTCACTCGATCTCCCCACCACTTCTTCTACATCATCAACTCCAATAATAACAACAGAATCAAGTACTTCAAACGATGACTGCTCTTGCGACAGCCCTACCTCGCTATACGTAGTGATAGCCGTCCTCGTGATTGTACTGAGTATGCTTTTCGTATGCATGATGATGGTGATATTGATGCTGTCATGCAAGAACAGGGCAGTCTCACATGATCCACGAATATTGGGCTATCAAGACGAGGGAAGAAACTCTGATTTGAGTAAGGAGCTATACTACATATATGTGTGTATCATATATAGTATACTAGTAGGTCGCATATACAGAATATAGGACCTGAGGTTTGTGTTCGAGGATGTGATATAGCCCAAGGGCTATATCACATCCAAGGACACAAACCAAAGGTCCTATATTCTGTATATAAGACCGTTCTAGTATACTATATATGCTATATTGCATAATGATGACAGCATTTCTGCATGGCAGGTCTATATACAAAATATAGAACCCACTACATCAAAGGAATGAGTGTGAATCATTCTATTGATGATTATTAGTGTTGTTAATTTATGATTATTATTACTTTTACCAGATCCAATCTATTCCGAAGTAAAGACTGACTCTAAGAAAGATACCTTGCACACTTGTACCTGCTCAGGTAGTACTTGTAAAACTATCCACACATTCATCAAATCATTACAGTTATAGATAGCTAATTTTTGTAGCTACATTCTGGTCATTATCGTTATTTTTGATTGTAGGTATTTGTACTTGCAATGAAAGTAGATATAGAAGTCATCCTGGTAGTTTGCCAAGTAAGTTCAAACTTATGCTTCTTTTAAAATTCCACTCTCTCTGTCTCTCACTAACCCACTTAGTGTCCTCTCTAAATGGTTCAATTCGTTCTAAGGATCTTAAATCGAGCAAAGAACTTGAAAAAGAACACAATCTAAATGAAGAACAAAAGAATACAGAAAAAGGTGAGAGAGAGAGAGAGAGAGAGAGAGAGAGAGGGAGAGAGGGAGAGAGAGAGAGAGAGAGTGAGGGGGAGAGGTAAGCTGCATGCCAGTTGCATTTAGTCATACTATGACAGTGAAATCATTTTGTCAAGCTGTCTTGTCTAAATGCATCATTGCTTCCTATTCAAAGTTCATGGGTCACAGTTATTGTTATTATAATTATATATAGACTATATATACCCAAAACCCATTCATTCTCATTTTTAAAGGTCCTACAGTTATGGAAGACAAAGACTCGGAATCCAAGACAAAGGACGAGACTCACAGAGACACAGCAGCCACACCTCCTTCTGACTCTGTTCTAACCATGCATTCTCTGGAAAATTCTCTAAAGAAAATTGGAGCTTCGGATTTACAATTGACAGACGTACCTGCTACTTCAGACGATGTTTCTAATAAACTTCCTGAGACTCCAACCACAACAAGACCACCTTCTTCCTTAAGTTCAGACGAGACTAAAGAAGAGACAGAGACGAACACGATTAGTGTACAGACTAGCCTGAGAATGTTCCAACCAAACGTTCCCCTTCAACCGAGTCATTTCCCTAGTTACTCGGAGATCTCAAAAGAAACAGAAGGAGGCAGTAAAGAAAAGGATTACCCTGTATCTCCCACCAGCTCAGATGAATTATCAGAATGGGACATTATAAATCCACAATCATAGTTTACGCATTAATGATTATAATAAATGCATTTTTGCACAGCACTCTTCATTTACACTCTTACATTATGCACCAATTCCATGCATGCACAAAGCACCATCAAGCGTCAGTATTATCATGTATTCTTGGTATTATTTTGTTGAAATTTTAAATATTTTTGTCGCATTCATATTATCGTCTGAATTATTGTATATTTGCTTGAATCTTGTACCTTTTTTGAGTGCATCATTGGAAAGAGATATATATTATTAATTATTATTATTTATTATTAAATTTTTTATATCTATAATTCTTGTCAAATGTATTATATATTATTTGTATTTTTGTCATTGTGTTTGAAAAGAATCATTACTTGAAGTCTATAAAATAGCATGTCCCTTTGCTTGTAGTGATGTCATTTCCTTGCGGGGATTGCCTTCCTGATTTATTAAAACTGCTCAAAGAAAATAAATTAGATTTATGATCCCTCTGGGAGTTTGTGGCTACTATAAATTATTATTATTGTTTGCAGCTCGTTCTTCTCACTTCTCCTGCTGCTATGACTCTCAGGCTTTCCCTCTTACCTTTTCTTCTTCTCACCTTCCCCTCGCTGCTGCACTCAGTCATTGGTTCACACTATGGAGTTTTTCCTTCAAGGACTGAAAACCTTTACACACTCCGTTGTCGTATAGGTGGTTTGATTGAACCTCAAGATGGTATAGAGTGGCTCTTTAACGGTTCTGACTACAGGAATCATACCCCTTGTTTCGCTGGAGCTGTTGCAACTGGAAACAGAATCACTTTTAGCCACTCATCAGACTGTGATGGCTATATTCAATGTGGCAATAGCACAGAATATTCTCTTCCTGTGCAACTCCAGGGTAAGACATTACTTTTGAAATTGTTAAATTTACATTTATTTTGCAGCTGAGCCAGAGCACTCTTCTTTCTATCGACAGGGGCAGATAAATATTGTGAGGCCTCAGGGATCTTCTGTCACGCTCCCTTGCAATGTCATTGTGTCTGCTATAGATGGGCTCAATGTGAGATGGATAAAGAATGCAGGGGGTACCAATGAGATGGAACTTATGTCGCTTAATGAAGACTATTCCGTCACTTTGACCAACTTGGAACCCACCTCCTCATCAATATGTAAGAAATGGAAAAAACTTGTAAATAGTCTTTTCGAAATTACCACTTGTTTTTGATATCTTAATTGCACTTTAGCAAATTGAGGCATGAAAAAAATACTTTGTACAAAACTAACTCAAAAAAAAGGAAGTGGTCTTATAACTTGTTTTCGGCACCTTGTTTACACTTTAAAGTGTAAAATGACGTGTGAAAAAGCTTGTAAAAATTTATTTTAATTGACTTTAGCTTCCCATTGCTCACTCTAATGAATAATTAAGTGTTAACATTATCATCGTAGTCTAATTATGATTAAGGGTCTAATCGTATCATCATTAGAGTAGAGTTTGTTATTAATTCGAAGTGTTCATTTGTCACATAACTGGCTTATGTTTGTTGTTTGTTTTCATCCTGACTCATGACCCCATGGACTTTCAATATGAGTTTAAAAATTGGGGACTGTTGGTTGTCCCCCATTCTTGCAGCTATTGCCATAAAAAGTGTCATAATTATGCAAGTCATGAATCAAAAGTCCCTGCTAACGATATTTAAATGCTTTATCCTCAAATGGCTAATTGCTCTACGTGTGTGCATATACCAGGTACATGTGCTTACGTAGTTCTTACAACTGATGGATCTGTTACTATAACCTGATCCTTATCATTATTATTTAGTTTACAGATGTGATGTCATTACTGATAGTGGAGTATTTCAAGGTCAAGTATTTTCTCTCAGAGTAGTGCCCTATAGTAAGTGATAAATAGGAGAGAGGAGATAAATATAGCCCTTAGTCTTTAGCCAAATTTAAATGATTCTTTAATGTGTAGGTCCTCCAAATATAACTAGTATTGAAGCCAGCAATGATGACGAAGATGAAATAGAAATCGTTCTCAGTGCCAGTGGAACAAGTCTTAATTTCTCTTGGTTACTTGATGGAATGGAACTTAAGGATGACAACGGCAACGTCAAAATTGAAACCGAAATCAGAAATGGAGGTAGCAAGAGCACACTAGAGCTGTCTCGTAGAATGATTACTCGTGCCAGAAACCTCACAGGGATTGCTAGCAATATCGACACAACCAATAGCAGTGATTTAAGAGGCATGATATCTGAAGTTATGAGGAATAGAAGTGACAGTGTTCAACTATGGCTATATCCTGGTAAGTCTCCTGTTTTCTATAATAGCTATAGAGAACATTGAAAAGGAGAGAAATCTCCTTTTTATATTTTTCTGATGCATATATATGTACTTATGTTGTGTAGAAAGTTTGAGCTGATTTTAATCAAGTTTAAATTATTATGAATTTTCAAAGTTACTCAAAAATTGTGCCAAAGTCCCTGTACTACAGAGTCTTTGCACAAAAAATGACTAGGAGAAAATTCTCCATTATAAGTTTTGAGCCATAATACTAACTTCTTACAACTGTTGTAGAGGCATACTGTAACAGAATCCACATAAAGTACCTAATATTTGCAAACCAGGCAATACAGGCATGTGTGTATGCAACACTGCAGTAGCTATCATAATTATCTTTGCCTTTGGTTGTAATTAGAGTAACCACAAAGCCTATCAAAGGAATATTTCATTGTAAGATGTTTAATAAATTATTATTCTTTTGCTGTAGCTGTAACTCCTTTTCCTACTCAAACTACTACTCCCTCGTCTGGGTCTGGTTCTGTTTGTGAGCAAAAGGCTAATGTCTATATGGCTCTCTTTATTGCTAGCATTGTAGCAGTTTTCCTCTTGATTCTGGGTATTGCTGCTATGAGCGTTATTCTGTACTACAAGTCACATTGTAACGGGGACAACAACAATAATAATGAATATGATGTTCAGCAGTGCCCAAACTGCAAGGGAGGCTTTACCGTAGAACAAAGACAATCAGTGACTTCGTTTGTATTGAAACTGACTGGTTTCATTGGTGAAATTGGATCTCAGAACTACACTTCTGAAGAAGTAAAGTCCCTATCACTCAAAATCACGCGCTTCCTATCACAAGTAACAGAAGAGCACAAGACACCAGAGCGTCAAGTAAAGTTGGATGGCTCATCTGAGGAGATACAGGTATTTGATAGCTCTCACAACCACTCTTCTTCTGTTCATTATCATCATCATCATCAATATGAAGAGATTAGACCAGCTGAGCTTAAGCTTGTGAATAAGCTAGGAGAAAGAAATACCAGTGTCACTATGATGGAGGAGGATGTCTTTATCAAGAATATGTTTGATGGGATAGATCTTGAAACTGTATGCAAGGCTATGTCTGCATTATCTTCTAATGAATGTACATAAAAATGTTGCAGATAATACTTAATATTAAAGAAAATATCGAAGAATTTTATTTTTTTAGTGAGTGTATAAGTACTTTCAATTGATTTGCAATGTTCTTAATATTAATTTATTAATTTTTTGTCATCAGCACCTCCAATGTTGACACTTATGTGAATGTAATTATTATAATTATTGAGTTGTAAAAGACACGCCCAAATCCAATTAGACTCTAAGCTAGCAAGCTACTGCAGCAATTTGGATAAGGCGTTATGATCTCCTTGCTTTTTCTCGCTTTGTTTTCTCTGTTCATCCAGAGGCACATTGTTTCTTCTCAGAGTACCCCGTACGAGATAAGATTTACTAGTCCTGCGCCTGGGGGCAATGCCATAACTCTTCAATGCAGTGGTAAACATGGAACTCAAGTGGCTGGAGCCAGTTTCTACAGGAACGGTCAGAATATCGCCAACAGCAGTTGCTTCACAGCATATCCTACGAGTAGCTCATCTGAACTGAGGATTGAGCTACAGTCCCAGGAATGTGACGGTTTTTTTAGTTGTGGCCTTAATGGAACACTCTCTATTCCTGCTGCATTTTACGGTACATGATTTAAAAGCATGCTTTCGCATGGCCATATGTTATAGTTTTTTTTTGCGGTTTTATGCACGAGTTTCAGTAACTTTTGTGCCTGTGTATGACTAATGCATGATTGGTTTGTACGATAGTAAAACTAATTGATACAAGAATGGAATGTGTAAATTTTGTAGTATTTTTGTGTAAACAATTAATCTCCGCATGATGATTTCCTTCATCTTCTAGCTTGCCCTCTTAGAAATAACTCTGATAGGACTATATCAGCGCAAGAAGGCGATAGTGTTTTTCTAACGTGTGACTTTCCTCTCTCGCCGATCAATCCCTATCATACAACATGGATTAAAAACCGAGGCCGCAGCGATCAGACTACACTGCAGAATACATCAGTCCTCCAGGGATACAATGTCACTGAGAATAATCCACAACACACAGAATATGTTTGCCAAATAAAGCCAGACAACCCTTGCCACAATGGATCCCCTTCGTTCACAGGGCCTTTTATTAATATTAGATTTATAGAAAGATTTGGTAAGTATAATATTATGATAATTACAGTGAGTGTATTTACTTTCAATATGCAATTCATTATTGTTATTTTGTATAGCGGTGCCAAAAATAACACAGGATCTTAATTACACAATGGATAACAATGGCGAAGGTGTTTTTAGTGTGACGTCCCGTGGTACTAATCTAACACACAAATGGTATAAGGATGGTGGATTGGTCAATAGTACTGGAGATAGTATATTAGAGATAAGTGATACTTCATTAAGAGTAAAGGAAGTCAATGGGTCACTGAGGATAGCGTATGTAGTATCTAATGTTGATTATGATAATACCTCACATTCGATGAGGCAAACTTTTGGGGTATACAGCAGAACCATAATTCAAAATTTTACCGAAATTACAGCCTCGGAGAACTCAATGAGCATCATAAATGTAGCCATCCCAATGGGTATAGTCATTCTTATACTCTTCGTAATCTGCATTGGACTATGCATCTGGATCTTTTGCTTAAAGCACAAAGATAAAAATGGTAGTAAACCTCAAGATGATTTCTCTCGACAGACCTCAAACCAGTCGGGACATAGTCAGAACCTGACACAAGAAGGAGAGTGCCGGGATGGTTCAAATCCAGACTGCAAAAAATGTCAGTATGAAGAATCCATGAAGCCTAAGGAACGTTTGCTCCTATATTCATCTAGATTGGTGGCGGACTGCGAAAAAAATAAGGATTTTCTAAAGCTTCTAAGGATGATGCTGGTTAATGCTCAAAATGAACGCAATTTTAATAAGAAGTGTGACACATTCTTCTCAAAAATGATCAGTGATATCAAACGTCTTATGGAAACAGCTGAGTCTCAAAGTAAAGATGGTGGCTCAAGCAGAGTCAATTGTGATGAAGGTAATTAATGTGCTTGAAAACTGTAATTATGCACAAATTTTATTTTTATTTCTACAGGTGATGATGTCTACAAGCAGTATGAGGAATTGCTTGAAATAGTTGATTCTTTGAAATAGTGTACATGTAATTGTTTTATTATAGTGTGTTGATTTTATAGCAGATTATTTAGAACCCTAGAACTGATCATTTCCGTAAGCAACAGTTCTATTATTGATGTTTATGTTGACACGCCCAAACTGATCGACTCGATCGATTGAGGATCGACTATGGTGAAGTCCTTTCTTTCTCTCGCTTTATTCTCTCTGTTCATCCAGAGGCACATTGTTTCTTCTCAACCTAACGACGCGCCATACACCACAAGATTGTCTCATCTTGCACCTGCGGGTAATGCCATAACTCTTCAATGTAAGAATAAATTTGGAGATGATCTGCCCGGAGCCAGTTTCTACAGGAATGGTCGGGATATCACCAACAGCAGTTGTTTGACAGCATATCCTACGAGTAGCTCATCTGAGCTGAGGGTTGAGCTACAGTCCCAGGAATGCGACGGGTTTTTTAGTTGTGGCCTTGGTGGAATCCTCTCAGTTTCTACAGAATTTCATGGTAAGCTAACAGCTTCTTATGCATATTATTAATATGATACATTCAGCTTGTCCTGTAAAGAATGTTACAGGAGTCACAACAGTAGAGATTGAAGAGGGATCAAGCGCCCTCTTAACCTGCAACTTTTTTCCTTCGCCCATTAAAAATTATACAACAACTTGGTTCATTGGTACTGGCAGTAATACAATGGAGATTCAAGACTCAACTACTGAACACCTTCAAAGCTACCTTTTACAAAAACCTGATCAGCCTAACAGTTACTTTTGTAAAATATGGATACAGTCATCTACTAATTCGCGTTGCCAGGGTTCGTTATCTGTCAGTTCATTTGTAATTAAAGTTCAACTAAAGGAAAAATATGGTAATTAGTTGTGTATGAAAATAAAAATTCATTTTACTATGGTATTTTAATTGTAGAAATGCCAACAATAACACAAGATCTTAACTACACAATGAATAACAATGGTGATGGTGGTGTTTTTACTGTGACATCTCATGGTACTAATCTAATGCACAATTGGTATAAGAATGATCGATTGATCAACAATACTGGAAATGGCATATTAGAGATAAGTAATACTTCATTAAGAGTAAAGGAAGTCAATGGATCACTGAGGATAGCGTATGTAGTGTCTAATGTTGATTATGATAATACATCACATTCAATGAGGCAAACTTTTGGGGTATATAGTTGTGTCTCATCTCCAACTCCTTGTGGAGTTACAGGAGATACAATGGAAATCATAATTAAAGTAGTTATACCAGTTATGGGTATAATTATCTTATTTCTTTTATTAATACTCTGCTTTTGTGGAGTTTGTGCTATTTATTTATGGAAAAAAAATAAAAGCTGCAATAAAATGGAGCAATTGGGTCATAATACAATAAGCCTGATGGTAGAGCAATGCAACACTAACAGAGATATTCTCAAATTACTCAGAAATGTCTTACATGAGGTCACAAATAAAGAGAAATGTAACAATGAATGCCGCAAAATCTGTCGCAAAATTTATACTATATTTTCATGCATAATGGAAGAAGAACCATGGGCAGCAGATGGAACACTAAAAACAGAAACTAGCAGCATACCTCTATGTGCAAGTAAGCTAATATTTTACAACCATTATAGTGTAACGTATTTTTAGATGATGCCGATCAAAATCCTTATGCGGAATGCCAAGAAATAAAAGAACTTTTAGAAAAGATTCTTTCATGTTCTCAGTAAAAAATTGGCTAAGACATTTTTTATTTTCGTGTGTATGACATAGCTTATTATTTTTAGTTTTTGGTTGCTTGCAGTTTTTAGTTTTTTAGTTAAAAATTATGTATAGTTTGTAGTAAAGCTATTAACTAAACATTAGTAAACAATAACAAGTGTAGTAAAAAAACAAACAAAATATTTGACATGATAAAGTTTATGAAGTAACATTAATACCATCGTCTGGTATCACATTCTCTTGTGCTTTCCGATACTCCTCACAGCTGCTCTGACGTATCGTGTACTTTTTCTCTTCAACTTGTAACTGATCCCTCGATGAACTTCTCAACGTTTTTGACATGACGAGAACCGGCCGTGCATTACTATCACATAAAGGGGAAATAGAAGCAGTCACAAACCCAGTGTCCAAGTGTGAATTATTTGACCCACGTCTGCTGGCACAACTCTCAATACTTAACTGACGGCTAGGAGCTAGTATGCTCACACCAGGACGAGGAAAAGCACCTCCTTTTTGCAAATGATTGGAGAAACTAGCCATGCTTGACTGGAGGAACTCAGCACATTTCCTATTCTCCTCATTTAGATCTTTCTCCAATACATTAATGAGAATGTGCTGGAGTGCTCCAATTAATGGTGAGTCTTTCTCTTTGTCTTTATAATATCGCCCAATGTCGATAAAAACAGAAGCAATTGGGTTTTTGATTTTTATCAGTGGTGTGTTTTCTTCACTGCTAGGAGAATTTATTGTATTAGTGAGGTGCAAACAGAGAGTACTAGAGATTAATGATGTCATACACTGAAGCCATTTCAATATCACTCATTGTTATTCTGTTATCATTGTTATTCTTTCATTCTTATTATACTCATAACACTAACTGTTATTATTATTAATCTCCCCCTCTCTCTCTTAATCTATTACTCACTGTGCTCTTGAGCGATGGACAATTGAGCTTGTGGCCAGGCCCGCTGAGAGAAGACATGGGGCCCAGGGGAAGATTAAAATTAGGGGCCCTTTGCAATAATGAAAAAAATTACAAATTAAAATGACAAGAACTACCAATGCTCAAATATGACCGAAAATTGATTGACTAACTTAGGAACACTAGCAATTGAAAGCAAACTTGCAGAACAGCTAAATTTTGATTATATCATAGATCATTTTGCTAGTTTAAAAACCAGAAAGGCACATGTTTAATCATGTATTAAAAGATAACTTATTATACTTTAATTATAATGTATATTATTATGGGGCCCCCTGAAGTGAGGGGCCCAGGGGATTTATCCTCTGCTCCCCCCCCTCTCAGTGGGCCTGCTTGTGGCCCAGCAAGAATTTAAAAATTTCCGCCCGATAAATGATTATTTACTGCTCTGCAGAAATAGAGCCCAGCATCTCTGTTAGCTACATTGAACAAGGTAAGGCTATAGTCTTCACTGCTGATGACGCCATTGGTCACCAATGTTGAGTGACCATTTCTGTTCCTGTACCACGTCACGGTTAGTGAGTTTAGCCTGGATACACTCATGTGGCAAGGAAGGGTAGCATTAGCCCTTTTTATTGCTTGAACGCTCATGGTCCCAGCTCAAATGGTGTACATGTATAATAACTTGTGTGTTGATTATTATGAGCAGATAGCTAATTGCAGCACGAGATGGTTTAGAGTCTCATCAGAGATGTTTATTGTTTATTAAGACACGCCCAAACTTGCAGAGTATGATGATCTCCTTACTTTCTCTCGCTTTATTTTCTCTATTAATCCAGAGGCACATTGTTTCTTCTCAGAGTACCCCATACGAGATAAGATTTACTAGTCCTGCGCCTGGGGGCAATGCCATAACTCTTCAATGCAGTGGTACACATGGAACTCCAGTGGCTGGAGCCAGTTTCTACAGGAACAGCCAGGGTATCACCAACAGCAGTTGTTTGACAGCATATCCTACGAGTGGCTCATCTGAGCTGAGGGTTGAGCTACAGTCCCAGGAATGCGACGGTTTTTTTAGTTGTGGTCTTAATGGAATCCTCTCCCTTTCTCAAGAATTTCATGGTAAGCTAACATCTTATGCATATTATTAATATGATACATTTCTATAGCTTGTCCTGTAAAGAATGTTACAGAAACCACAACAGTAGAGATTGAAGAGGGATCAAGTGCCCTCTTAACCTGTAACTTTTTTCCTTCGCCCATTAAAAATTATACAACAGAATGGTTCATTGGCATTGGCAGTAATGCAAGGCCAATTGAAAATTCAACTAGTGAACACCTTCAAAGCTACCTTTTACAAAAACCTGATCAACCTAACAAATACTATTGTAAAATACAGATACAGTCATCTACTAATTCGCGTTGTTCGCCATCTGACATTTCGTCTATAATTATGGTTCAACTGAAGAAGAAATATGGTAATTTGTCACATGTGTATGAAACTAGAAATTCATTTTATTATAGTATTTTCATTGTAGAAATGCCAACAATAACACAAGATCTTAACTACACAATGGATAGCAATGGCGAAGGTGCTTTTACTGTGACATCCCGTGGTACTAATCTAACGCACAAATGGTATAAGGATGGTGGATTGATCAATAGTACTGGAGATAGCATATTAGAGATAAGTGATACTTCATTAAGAGTAAAGGAAGTCAATGGGTCACTGAGGATAGCGTATGTAGTGTCTAATGTTGATTATGATAATACATCACATTCGATGAGGCAAGCATTTGGAGTATATAATGTTTCATGTGGTGGGATTACAGAAGATTCAATGGAAACACTTGCTGTACCAATAATGGGAACAGTCATTGGTATTCTAATCATAATCTGCTTAATACTAGTACTTTGCCTTTACATTATTTATAAGAAATATAAAAGTGCCTCAGAAAAGACAGTTCCAGTAGAGTTTACAAGGAGAGATGGCAGCACTGTTACAGAAGGCAATAATGACATGCGATGTGATGAGGTTGGTGGTTTGCAAAGATTAGCAGAGGTGACACATTCAAGTGAGCAATGTGATCATGGTTGCATGACGTGCAATTACGAAGAGAGTATGAAACCTGATGAACGCTTGTCTCTTTTTGCAATGAGGATGGTGAAAGACTGCACTGATGAAAGTGATTTTCTCAAATTACTCCTCGAGTTCCTGTTGAAGGCCAAGTATATGAAGAAATATAACAATAAGTGTCGTGAACTATGTAGCAAAATGATTCATGAAGTTGACACTCTCATGGAAGAAATAGAACCTCAAGAAAGAGATGCAACTAGAAAGATAGGCCTTGATGGAAGTAAGCTAATTTGCTGCAAGTAAATATAAACACTCCATATCTTTTTTTAGGTAATGAACATCTTCTTAGCGATAATCAACTTTCTAATGATCAGCATGATCGTTATAAGCAATATCAAGACATACGCAAAATTTTGCAAGAGATTGCTTCGAAATAATAAAGTGCTGACTAGTATGCCGAACTTAATTTTACTTTAGTTTGTTGCTGTTTTTAGATTGTCCTGTTTTTAGTTTTAAATTGAATTGTCCTGTTTTCATTAAACCAAGACAATATTTTTAGTTTTTTGTATACAATACTAACTGTATAAATCTAAATGGATTAATAAACAGAAACAAGTGTGATAAAAAAGCAAACTTAAATAAATGAAATGATAAACAACATAATTTACACAACATGCACAGTTTATGAAGTAATGTTAATACCATCATCTGGTATCAGATTCTCTTGAGCTTTCCGATACTCCTCACAGCTGCTCTGACGTACCGTGTACTTTTTCTCTTCAACTTGTAACTGATCCCTTGATGAACTCCTCGAGGTTTTTGACATGACGAGAATCGGCCGTGCATTACTATCACACAAAGGGGAAATAGAAGCAGTCGCAACAAACCCAGTGTCCAAGTGTGAATTATTTGACCCACGTCTGCTGGCACAACTCTCAATACTTAACTGACGGCTTGGAGCTAGTATGCTTGCACCAGGACGAGGAAAGGCACCTCCTCTTTGCAAATGATTGGAGAAACTAGCCATGCTTGACTGGAGGAACTCAGCACATTTCCTATTCTCCTCATTTAGGTCTTTCCGCTCCAATACATTAATGAGAATG